CAAACATGATCTCAATGGATTCTGCCTCCTTTGAACTGTTTTTCAAGTCTGGTAGCCCCCCTGGCTTGCTTAAGGTGCCACAGAGCCATCCTCTTCTCATGAACCACATCTCCACAAGTGAACCTCATCTTTTTTCTTCCTCTTCCCCGGTCCCAACTGTTCCTGCTCTTTCTCATCATTCAGAAGCCACTGAGGTACTACAACATAATTCCCAAGAAAGGCAGTGGAAAGAATGCTTTTGCCAAACTATATAAAGACTGAATTTGCACATTAGATTAAATTCGGTCAAGCAAGTAAGTGCCAATGGCAAAAAAGCTGATCAATTGAAATTTTTACACAGAATGCACACATACTTTATTTGGGAAATACATTAAAAATTGTTTCTTAGTCTAGAATATCTATACAGACTTCAGAATATGCAGAGTGCCCTTTTAAACTCAAGAAACATTTGTCAAATGTACAAAAAAATTACAGAGAAATATTTGTTAATCAAAGCACAGTAAATGATGCCATTTTCAACCGTTCAAAACAGTCTCTAAACCAGTGCAAATTTAATTGCATTAAAGAAAACTTCCCAGCTCACTTAATAAATTCATAATTTATTCACACTACATCCTTTTATCCTCATCACAATACGGATTATTTTAAGCTCCCCAAAGGAGTTTAATGTGCTTCTAGAAACAGCAAACGATCCCTTTTATTTGCACCACTGACTGATGCAGACTGAAAGAACAAATAAAAACCCTGTCTGTTTCTCTCCTTGTATGCATCATAACATACAGCACAGTAAAATATAGAACTAGAGTCCAATTCGACCACTCAGGTTCAAGACTGAAGTTACAAGGGTGGTTTTTTTTCAAAAAGGTCCATAATGAAAAGCTGATACACAGAAGGCACCTTAAGGTTTTTATTAGTTAAGAGGAAAAAAAAAAACCAACCCTTTGTTGAAAATACACAGTTATGTGAAAAGGACAACCTGCTTACCATTTAATGAATTAAAGTTATCTGCATTGAAATAATTGTTGAATTAAGAGTTTTAAAATGAGCAAACTACTGAGTGGATTCCTCAGTTACTTACATTTTAACAATTCGCTTTAAAAATATAATTTCTATGATCTAATTTAATATACATTTTGAAAATATCCCCTATGTTGCAGTTATCCAAGGAAAGCAGTAAACTCAATGAAAGCTGCAGCAATACAAAAAGCCATTAATTCACAGTTAAAAATGGAATAAAATTACTCACAAGTGCAATGTAGCTTGAGCTTAGCCAATGTGAAATTCCACTAGGAAAAAGACTAAGTTACTTGCAAAACAGATGAATTTAGTTTCAAACACATATATCAAAGTATTTTCCATTAAAATCATATTGTTGAATTTGAGTTCTCTGAAGCGTGAAGACACGATATGACTATAAGTAACATACAGATGCTTCTAGTAACGTGTAAAAGCTGGTACCTGTAACTGTGCCAATACTGCAGCCACATCAGTCTCCTCCAGCTACAGGGTTTTGGAGGCTGTTATGTCTTGGTAACATGCCAGAATGTAACTCATAAAGAAAAACTTTGTCACTTAAGAATCTTGATTTCAAACCCTTAAGAACCCATTTGTTGTTTCTGATACAAGCACACAAGCTGTTTGCAACTGGCGTACAGTTGGCTGAAAGGTGCAAGAGAGTATCTTCTCAGCATCACTGACTGCAGTTTGACATCCTCGGCGCAACAATTCAGCAAAGCTTCTCTGTGACAACTGCTATTCTGACACAAACCTTCCAAGTTCTTGGGCTTACCTGAAATTCATTAACACTTTCACCCATGTATGTAATCAGCACGTAATGCTGCAACCATTTTCTTCATGTTTCTATACAGGAATTCCAAAATACACACAGAAGAGCCACCTCCTCCTGAACACTGGCTGTTGAGCTACTAGAAACTGTATTTGGAGGCAAGAGCTTTGCAGGTGAGCAGAATGGTATTTTTTCTGCTTACACCAAGAGGAAAACAGAACCAAGACCAAAAGTACCCACATCCCGCCTTCACAAAACTTTGTCCAGCTCATTCATGCTTTATGGATTCTGATATATTTGGATTATTAAGAGTGGGATGTCAAACAAATTAGAAGCATTTGTAGGTAACTAAGTCATTTCTGTGCAGTCCAAGAAGTTCAAGCTGTTATTAACTTTAGAGAGGAACTTGTCATATCTTCAGCGCCCAGTTTTCAGAAATACAAATATTTGCAATGCATTCACATAGAATTTTGAACAATTTTCCCTGCTTATTTTTTGCCTGATTTTCAAACATGAGTACTACACTAAGCTGTTTTATGCCATGCCCTTTTTTTATTCTTGCTTAGTTCTTTCAGCATTCAAATTAGGGAAGCCTACATCTCAGGAAGTTTGTGTAAGAAAGCCTGCAGTCTCTGCCTGTTTGGAGGAGGAGACCTAAATGTCAAAGGAGGAACAGGAAGTGCCATCATACATTTGAAAGGAGAGAAAGCAACTAGGATAAAAACCACTAGGTTCTCAATTTCTTTCAAATTTTTGCAAATGTGATTTTTTTCCCCACAACAGCATCTCCTTAAATGAATACTTAATATGTAAATCAATTCCAGAGATCTCCCTTTTCATCTGAACTACAAATTTCATTCAAGAACCAGCTCATTAGTTAGCTATTAAAGACAAGGCATTAAAAAATCTGAATTAAAAAGAGCAAGCACTTACTTTTGTCATTCTATGTGAAATAATTAATTACAACAGGCAGATTTAAGACTTCAGGTAGTTACATGCAGGATGTCCACCACGCTGAAATCCAGGAGCATGCAACAGAAATAGTTTATCTGTAGTGTATAGAAATGTCAATATGCAGTAGTAAATCAAAGCAAGTTCAATCCTGCAGCGATCCTTTTCCCTTCAGGCTTTAGGGTTTTTTTTATTTAGTGTGTGTACCTGGGGAAAATCTAACATTTAGCACTACATGCTGTGCACAATACACCTTGCTGTTTCTACAACACTACTGTCTGATTAATACACTTTCAGCAGCAGATGTAAAGGTTGTCTTCAAATGAAGGTGATCTGCTTACAGAATTTAGTTTATAATAATATTATTTACACCAGCTTAAAACAATTTGGCTGTCACCAATTGTCTAAAATAGCACTCACTGGAAAGATTTTCTCTGTAACTTAATGAGCTGGAAGAATCTAAGGATGAATAAAACTTGATTTGATTCCCTGCAAGTTGCATCACATAATGATACGGTTTCTCCATTTAACACTAAAAAATTATACAGCTGTATGTTTAAGATCAGTATAGAATTATACAGGAAAATTTGCCATTCTGATTTGCAGAAGTACTTAGTTGTTTGGATAAATACTGAGAGAGACTTTTACTTTTAAAGGATGGAACTGTGCATGTCAAATACGTAGTAGGAGAAGAAAGGAAAATATGAAGAATCAAGCTCTACTCTTCCATTGTGATGTAGGTCAAGGTATCTGCAAGCAACCATGCATAAACCCAAAGAACAAAGAATGGGGTAAAAAAAAAAGGTCAGTGTGTGCTTTATTTCTTCTAATTGTTGAGCAAGAATAATATTTTCATCAGGTGAGAATCTGTCCAGGCAATATCCCCATATTAACTTAGGATCAGCACTTTTAGACAAAATACAATCAACTTGTCTATGATGCAAACGTATTTTGTCACAAACAGTGCAAATCCTTTGTTTTAGCCTCACGAAAAAACAAAAGTTGGTTTTGTTGTTTCATGTAGAAGCTGTTCCAGACAGATCTTCATCCCTCATCATTTTCAAGAATGAAAATTTTTAATAAAGATAGTATGAAGTAAATACATTCATACTCAGATATGATTATAGTTTTAGCTATGCTCATTTAGCATGCTACAAATCTTACTCTTTTTTATCTAGGAGTAACTCCATCAGAAAAGCCACACCATTGAATTTCAGCAAACAAAATGGAATATATCTGATCATATTCCTCAAGTAACAGAAACATTTAAACTGCTGACAAGTATCCAGATTCTTCTTACCAAGACTATGACTACTGTAGTCATATGTCAGGTGAGGAAGTGTCTGTCTTATGAAGCTATCCAAAGTATGGATTAATCATTTCAGAGCACACACTCAAGCACTTCATTTGTGCTAATATACACTTTGAAGACCACATTTATAAATACATTTTAACTGAAATATTGAATTTGGACTATCAGTGCAAAATAATTAACCCACAGGCTACTGTAAAATCGTGGGAGAGGGTGATAAAGAATTCAAGAAAAGGACACTTTTTAAGCATACATGCATACAGTATAAAGTATAATTTCATCAGACAGTATCCTTCTGACAAACCTTGTATATATCCTTAAAGCGATTTAAGCTTCGTATTTAATTTTTTAAAAGCCATCCATTTCTGGGCTGCTTAGTGTAGAAGCCTAAAAATTCTTTTGGAGAAAGGAAAGTATGTTCATAGGATCTTTAGTTTGTCAGATAGAGAACATAGGAAAACTGCATGTAAGTTTCTGGTTTTTACATCTATAGACACACATGATGTGAAGGTCAGCCAAAGATAATTTAGAATACTGATTGGGACATGGGTCAGGAGAAGGGTAGCAATTTTGCGAACTGTGATCTGACAAAACCAACTGCATTGCAACTTTCAATACGAGGACTCGAATATTTACATTCCTGCATATATACCACACACCAATAAAAAGATCCCTCTTTAGGTAAAGGGCATTTTAAAGAAGTATTTTGAGTCCGGAAAGTTATTTCATTAAGATATACAAATGTTGGTGGCCATTAAGAAAGTCAGCAACTATAGGCTGCTCTTTAATCATCACCTTTTGAAGAACTTCGTATTGTAAGGGAAAGATTTGAGGAAGGAAAAGAAGTATATACAGGAGAAAAAAAACTGAAACCAACTCACTCTATTAACATAGTTTTAAAACATTATAACGTACTTTACACTGTGTATCAAGAGACCAAAGACAAGAATATATATTGTAGCTTTGTGAAATTGGTTTGACAAATCACCATTTGGGATTCAAAGTGTATATATCGCCATGCTCCTGGTTTGTTCACCTCTGCTTTTCTCTCACTGAAGTTTAATGTGTATCCTCACTTTTATATTAAAGGTGCCCCAAAGCACTTTCTACAGCACTCAACCCTGCTGCTTGGTGGAGCATCTATTTTCTGCATCTTCTCAAGAACATCCTTTGGTAGATTTTTAAGTGCAATTCTGTATTCACTATCAAAGACCTCTGAAACAGAAAAAGCGTAGTTGAAGTTATTTAAGAAACTCTGTACAGTCCACACTGCTTTTTCTATAAAATACTTTCAGTGAATTTTATGCAATAACAAAATGATTATCTTTAGTTAACTTGTGTTTTTTTTCCAAAATGCATCCTCTCCAGAGAATCTGAAAAGCACCTTCACAGTGGAGGACCACAAGACATCTCAGTGGATGCCCTTTACCCCTATCACAGTTCAGTTTGCCTCTTCCCAGGATTTTTTGCCCTGTCACATCGCATCCCGTAAGGGAGTCCCTTTGTTTGCATAGTACCAAATAGAAGTCAGGGTAAAGGAGTTCAGGAAGGGGTGGGCAATCAGGTGTCTAGATAGCATACGTCTAATATTGGGTCAGAGAAAGATGGCCAAGACTGGGGACAGGTTTTCAGACATGAAAAATTAAAGCTTCAGGCTAACAAACTTTGTTTATAGTGATTAGTGGTTTCAAATAAAGTAAAAATTAATAGCCACACTTGAATTACATTTTCATAAAACCAAAACCTACTTGAAGAATAGGAGCGCCACACTTTCGACTAAAACTCAGCAATTGAAACTCATGGATAAAACGTTGATTTTGTACCCTAGTTTCATTTAAAATACTCATATATTTCATACACAGGCACTATGTACTTCACAGCATTTTTTTACTTACCAATGTCAATGTTTTCTCTCCCAAGAGACACTAGAGACAGGAAAAGAATTTCTCTGTAAAAACTCCTAGGAAAGGAAGGGCAAGAGCAAATCAATGAAAGTAGCAATTATTCTAAGTTCAGAAAGTCAATGTTGAAGGCACATATCTTCCATTACTTAGTTGCTGCAACTGTTCCATTAACCTTGCTTGTGAAGTGACCGATGTACATGATTACTAGTTTAAGGTTTTCTCATGCCTGAATATTTTCCCTTAACAAGGTCAGGCTTGATGGGGCTCTGAGCAAACTGAGCTAGTTAAAGATGCCCCTGCTCAATGCAGGGGGGTTGGACTAGATGACCTTTAAGGATCCCTTCCATCCCAACCATTCTATAACTCTAACATGTGAAGTTACATTATTGCCAAAAAACAGCCAGTTACATTTTCTATGAAAAATCTCTCGATAAAGTGCCAGAAAAATGAGAAATTTTAAGCAAGACTTATTAATTCATTCCTGCCTGAGAGTGAAGTACAGGGAACAGGCTTATTTCAGATCACTCATTTTGTTTTAGAACATCATGATCTGTCTCAGAACTGGATACCAGTTCCTTCTGGAACTCATGAACATTCTTCTCTAGGCATATTAGTTCTCATTTCTTTTTAGTAACCACAAATCTCAGAAGCAAAGATGGCTTAGCACGGTAAATTTCAAGCACATCTTGTACCTGCTGGAATTTACTTCAGACACTGCTTTTGTATGAAACCCTCTTTGAATTGTAGATGGCAAAATGTACTGTACATGTCTCCCTTTGCTTGTGGATCATGCTGTATCCACTTTTCTTAGCCAGTACTCCAGGCTTGCAGAATTTCAATAGGTATAACTAGGTAGTTTGGAGAATATTGCAGACATGGCAACAGCATGCTGCACACTTGTATTTATCAGTTTGCTAGCAAAACCAAAATCTGCATAGTCAATACCTCCATTTTTCTTATTCATTTGTAATACGTCCATTTTGATTAAAGAACTAAATTTATTCATTTGATTTGGATGAATTATGCCTCTGGCTACAGAACGCATCTGTTTGTAAACATGGGCAGTAACCAAATATATCATGTTTGGTGGACACAAATGAAACTGAATATCCTGACAGATCTGTATGGAATTGTCAATATGAAGTGGAACAGTCTTATCTTGTCCAACTTCAAGTGGGGAGGAAGTTAAGAAGAGATTACCCCTTTACCTCTGTCGTTTCACATCTGGCTTAACTTTCTGTAGTAGGAGGTTGATTGGTTTAACAACGTTATTGTGTTGAATACTTAGTTTGATGTTCTCCAACAAAGTATTTGTTGCCTGCTGATTTTCTGTCACTGTGGAGAGTCTCTTGTCAGAAGAATCTGGGAAATGCAACAGTACAGATTATTAAAGCTGTGAGGATCTTCTTTTCACCTTAGTGAGCCAATGATATTTCAGAGAGCGACATACATATACAGAACATCTACTCAATCTACAGAAATTTGTTACAATGGAAATGCTTTGTCTGCTTATAGTCATTACTCCACCAGGAGAGTGACAGGATGCATGAAGTATCCATGTTTAAGAGCTTCCACATGACAGAGATATACAAGAGACTGAGAAGTACCCAGCATCAGATGTTGCCTGTCGTGGTTTGTTAGCTCACATCTATTGCTGTATTTCAGTTTCAAAAACCAAGTTACTTCTGTAAGGTTATTTTTACCCAAAGGAAAAGAAATAAACCGAAAGAGAGCACTGTCATGTTAACTATCAAGGAAACTTTTCTCATCAAAGCCCCTCTGAAAAGCCACCTACAATTCATTGATAACTTTTGGCTACATATTGAAATAGATAATGCACAGCTGCACCAAACAGGAAAGAAAATTATCAAGACATTTACCATCATGATTTGTTGCTTACACTGCCACTTCTAGAATAACACTGAACTACTGTTCTTGGGAAAACAGTGACTTGTAAGGGAATATTAAGTCCATTTACTGACAAAAAATAAGCCTACAGATTAGGCAGAAAGTATGTGGAGTGTAAATGAAATGTAGACTAAAGCTAGTAATCACAAATCACACCAATCTAAGGTTTTCATATAATTGACATCTATGATGGTTTACAAATGTATTTTCCTGTTTTCCAAATACTTTCTGACACTGCTGTAGAGCCTATCTAAAATGCTACTACTTTCTGTTCATATTTATAACTGGCCTTTTGCTACTTTATTTACATAAATACCTACATTTATGCATCTTCATTCACGTCTGAATGCTCTGTAGAAGCTTTTCATGTATCATGCTCAAATAAAGATGCTTTTTCAGAAGCTGAGGGAAACACTGCATCTTATTCTCTAATTTTCTGATCAGTCTATTTTTACGGCACTTTTGAACAAACCCTTCTTTCTCCCTGAGAACTAGAATTATCACACTACATAGTTTTCAGCATAGTTTTAAAAAAATCAAACACAGACTGAGAGGTTTAGGTCAACAAAGGGATTTTTTTATGATTAGAAGGAATGAAATCCTGAATTTCTTGTAACCAGTCTGCCTGTTTTTTAGCTCCTTCCAAATCAAGTTATGGCAGACAAAGGCTTTCTTGGATCCCACTTTCTGACACTCAAATAGGCTGCCAAATGTACACGTTAATGAGACTTGTGACATTTCATCCATTTATAGAAACACAAGACACCTTTGTTGTAATACAGTCTTCTTTTTCATGCCTCCATAGATATAACCAGATAATGCAGTGAAACATTCAAATCAGATGAAGCTTATTTAGCACTGCATCTAGAGCAAATCCACGCACTCTGTTTATAAGTGTGTCAAGGTTTAGGGCTTTTGTACAACATATAAGGAACAGATAACATACTTCTTCACACATTTTCACAAATAATTTGACATTGAGACTATGTAAGGTACCTAAGAGACTGCAGATGTTTCACACACTTAAAAAGCTCTCCAACTTCATGGGCTGCAGGTGCTACAGAAGAACTGTTTGCTTCCATAGCCCCTCCTCTCTCTGCCTCCTGTAACATTTGTTTTACTTACTGAGATTTCTCCAAGATATATACAGAGGCTCCCCTGGCTCTTGGTGGAGGTTGATATTGTCCCATAGAAGATGGATGTATACTAGCTTGCTATCTTGAGCAAGAGATGTCAAAGGAAGCTAAAAAACATGTGGAGAGGGAAGAAGTTTTTAAAATATCAGTAGAGTCTTATTATCTAAAAAATTGCTCTTTTAGTCATTCTACAGGGGGAAAAAAGAAAAGATTTACTTTATTTATCCTGAATCCAACATACAGGAACAGGTGATGTCTTCTAGAGGAAACTGCACTCAACCAGAGCAAATTCACAAGTACCACAATATTTAATTGCATTTTCTAGTTTAGCCTAATGCATGAAGATCACTGAGTTTTCTAGAGATACCTGATGAAAATAGTTATGTGTATATATCCAAAAATATTTTTTGTGCGCCAAGCACATTACTTGACTTGTACTATTTATCATGCCATACCTTAGTATTTTCTGACCTGCTTAAGACTCAGTAGGCATGTCTATGGTAGGCATGTCTATGTGTTGGTCTTCACAGCAAGCAGAAAGAATCTGTATTTGCATATAAATATGAAATATTTATAAACATTAAAATATAAGGTACTCAAAACTATAGTCCCATAATTATTTTATAATATTAAGTGCCTCTGGAATCACTAATACAGTAAGAACTAGTGAGAAACAAAAAATTATCACTACTATGTCAATTTAAAGTAGTAATTACACGATACAATGTCCTATCTTGTGGTTTTCCCTGCTAATGCACTGTATATTTCCAGTATGCTTTAGATTTCATTAGTACTGGTCTCCAGCTACAGTTCCTGGAAAACTACTCTTGGTTCTAGGTGGTTTTTTGTATTTTTTAAAAAGCTGAGGGAGAGAATTTTAAAATTAAAGTGCATATAAGTAAATAGGAAAATACCACTTTTTCATGTGCATCATTTACAAATGCCTATTGAATTTGGTACTTACATACACAAACCATATAGGTTTCAGAAAAACATCTACTCCTTAAAATGGGAAAAGCAAAATACTCACAAGAAAGCATCCATTCTATGTTCTTTTGTTTTATTCATACAGTTACGAAACTTAGTGGAGTTTGAATAGCAAGAACTATTAGTGGAAAAAGAGCAAAAAATATTGACAAAACCTTTAAAAGTTTATATACCGAATTATGTAACCTGCAGTACTTGGATTACACATACTGCAGTTTGCGAATTCTCTGCAGACACATCTTGTTTCACTCTGTGTATCAGCCCTCTCCTTAATGAGTCTTACTCTCTGGCTTTTAAAAAGAGAACAGTTTGACTATAATTTGAATGCTGTTTTCACTCGTCTTCCTTAAAGATTCCTTGCAAAATGCAAACCTATCTACCTGTATTATAAAACTCAGGAACACACATCCAAGCTACTCAGAAATTACTTACCCACTTTTTTTGAACCAAGCCCAAACTTTGCTTAGTCTAATATCTGCAGTTCTAGTATGAGGAAGCCACCTACCTGCACTCCATCATTACAGTGTTCAGATGTTAGAATGAGTCCAGGTAAGTTGCTAGGTAGATCCAACCGTCGGAAATACCAAACTAAGTTCCAGAAAATTATGGGGTGTTGATTGATGAATTTGGATGTATGAATTACTTGCTCTCCTTCATTTTCCAACAGTGATTCAAGCTCCTTACGCAGTACCAAAGGGCTCAAGTAGGGTACAGATACAGCAAGAGGGTTAGGTCTTTTTATTAAAGGATCCTAGACACAAAACGAATGCAAAAAAATAATTATTTTTACAAAATAAAATATTTTTCTTCCATAAATACTCTTTAGGATTAGTTTTCCTGAAAATCCTCCATTGCACAGTTTCTTTTGATACTTGGAAGAAGTCTATGGAAGTACTGAACACACAACGTTTTGACTGTTGAGGTGTTTGTTAACTTGCCTAAGCTCACTCTTTTACATGAAAAAGAGAAAATGCTGATTTGTTGTAACTTGTTCCTGATTGTGCAGTTTCAAGCTATCCAGGTTGGTACCACTCCAGTGGCAATGGAGACTGCAGAAAAATGCAAGTAATTACATCAGCTGTGGAACTGAATCATGAGTTCACAGGTTAAGACAGCTTCTCACCAATAAAAAGCACAAGGAGAGAGGAGAAACACTTTGTTTCACATGCAAGAATAATCTAATAGCCTCAGTACTGCCTCTTACCTTCTCACATCCACTCAACAGGTAAGTCTAACAGAATACAGAGAAGTGTAAATAAATGCATGGAAAAGGAACTTTCACTCCTGCAACAGCGTGCTGTTTGCAGTATCGTGTTTAGTCTCTTGTAAAAGTTCGGTTATTTTAAAATCAAACTTCCAGTTTCAGAAAGCCAAAGACTAGCTTAATTCTGACAGAGATAACACTTCAAATCAAGCAGCACTGTTAGTACAATGTACTGAAAAAACAATTTTTGATTAACTGAACCAAGATTTTTTTTTGCTGTAAGAACATGAAAATATGTTTGGCCATTCCCATTCCTCAAATGGACAAGAATGTTAGCAGCAGACCATTATTCCTTTTAAGTTCATTGCTTTCAATATTTTGCTGTCAATTGAATGTTCAGCTTCCAGACTTACCGCAACTTCTTGCAAACTATTTGGAAGGCTAACTGTTGAAATGCCATGAGATGGTCTCTGGGAAAGATCAATGTTTTGCAGTGGACCTCCAACACTGTGACTCCGAGTCAAGGCTACTCCCCTTTTTGGTGGATTATTGGCAGATATCATCACGGTTCTGAGATCGTTACTCTGTTCTTCTGCCACATTGCTGTTTGGATTTTAGAAGAGAATATGCTAATATGAAACTATTCACCATTCCCACAGCAACAGGAATGAAGGACAAAAAACTGCCAAGTAAGTATCCCAAACCAAGTTTATCTATTAATAAGGTATCATGTTTGCCCAGTTAGGTCAACAGTCTAGGGAAAACAAAACAAAATGCCTCTCAGAACAGTATAACCATTCATCAAAAAAGCAGCTAGGTATAACCTAAGACACAAATCTGAAAGCATTGCTGTACCATTGCTCTGGTACAGCTTTACCTTGTTTAGAAAAACAGTAATGTACAGTTTTACCAACACACAAAGATTATCTTGTTCTTACTGTGCTTATCTTCACTTTTCCCTTTTACTTTCTCTAAATGTCACAAGCAGAGGAAAAATATTACAGAAAACAATTTGTTGTTGCATGCCAAAGTAACTGAAGAAAAATAAAATTGTTAAACTCCTTCAGTAAGATAATCTAAGCAAACTCCTATTACAGGCTTGTAAAATTTAGCCCATACAATCAAGCTTCTCGCAGGGAATATTCATTTTGTGCCCCTTTTAACTGAATCTGGATAGAAACAATTCAACTACAATATAGAAGAAAAATTAGCGAAACAGAAAGAGTCTATTTTCAAATAATCTACAAAGACAGGGAAGAGTTTAATTTCGAAGTGACCTTCACTCCTAAGTTTGACTTTACTTTAAAATATGACATCAAAATTAAGAGATTATCATAAGCAACACCACCTTCCATTTTAAATCGTTAAGACTAACTACTATCAACATCAATTTATGTCTCAACAGTCTGACAAAGGCATTAACTCTTTAGCTCACAAGCATTGATACTCAAGAATTCCAAGCTGAGTAATGATTAAGTGGAGCGTTATTACAACAATTCCCAGAAAAATGATCACAGCTCACAGCAGCACTATTTCAGTTCTTCCCTCTACCAATGTGACACTTTCTCCTTAATGTTTCTTTCCCCTTACCCCTTCAAAAGTGGCATTTTTTTTAAGTTTCAGGTTTACATCAGTATTATTTGTCATAGAAAGCATGCTCAGTACAAGTGTTGAGTAATCGAAGAGCTTTTTCTCAAAAAAGAGTGTTTCAGCAAATGGACTTATTTTTCCCCATAATGCATTGTCTTTCTTGTTAAATTCTAAACACAAAGAAAGGAGAAGTGATGCGTAAATTTCTTTGTGTTGTTAAGAGGTGAGTTTGTTCTAACAATGCTGAGTGGAAGTTTTACTTATTACTCAATAGCAGATGGACCTAAAGATTCATTTCTACAGTTGCATCTCTAAAATCCACTCATGTAGCGGAATCAGCTTACTTCAAATCAATAAAAGTACACTTAAAACATGCAAAAGGAGTGAGAGGGAACAGATGACTGACAGGCTACAACTGTAGTTCTCCGACATACTTGTTACGTAAGTCAAACTTCACTTTAGAAGTAGAGGAGAAATATTAGAAGTGTCGATACAATTCTGACAGAATTAACCTGTTTCACCTACCTCTGCTCAGCTGCAGAGCTAGTTTCTTCAGCTATGGTGTGGTTGGGCTGTGGGTGGTCTGAAAAACTGATTAAGTCAGCAACAGCGGGACTAGACAATAGTTTCTGCTCCAGGGGATCCGTGGTTAATGGAAGGGTACCACTCTGTAAACTGTCTCCTGAGGTACTTTGCTTCAGGAAAAAGCTGTTAAAACACGAATGGGAGTGAAGAGAAATACAAAGGTTAAGATACAAGCATGAAGTCATTAAAGTCACTACTTTCTACACTTACTTTAAAAAAGCAGCAAAAATAAGGAAATGCAACATTAAAAACCTTGGTAACAGGGCACAACCTTCATCCTAGGCTCTCCCGTTATAGGCAGAATAAACGAACACATAAAGAGATTTGATCCGCAAAATATGAAACCTTATGCTGGACATAAGTCATTACAAGTGACCTTAGTTTGCCATGGTTTCCAATCAGCAACAATATATCAATAGCTGACACATCACTGGAAAAGGTTATTATTGTAAAGTGACATTATGGACTAAAAGACCAAACATTATAGGCATGAGATAACAGGAAGATGTCTTGCTTCACTAAGGTTTTCAAGTACACGCTCTATGTTCAGTTTAAGCATTAAAGAACACTAATGGAAACTACATTTCACAATAGTAACCACTACAGTGAGAATCCATTTTAGATTACCTAAAATAAGTTCCGCAGTGCAATTAAAAGAGATAAAAACAGTAAGCAGAGAAGCTTAAACTGGAGAACTACTGCTAAAACAGTAAGCTAGAGCATCTGGTAACTGAAAGCCATTATTAAACTTAATTTGGGAAAAATTCTTTGCTGACAGATTTAAAAACTGCTTCATAGGCTTTAAAAAAGTTTATGATCCATTAGCTTTATTTTAAAAGCTAACCAACATCAAAACAGACTTACACCTTCTGCATAAGTTATGCTTATGAAAAAAATATCAAAAGTATTAAAAAGGCAATCAGTTCTTTGCTTCTTGGCTGTTCTACAGCAAAACTCAATACTTTACATGACCTAGAATTTCCTTCAGTACATCATGACTGTCAAACAGGCAGTGAAATTCTTGCAAATATCTAGAGGAAAATACTGGGAGATATAACCAAGTCCCTTTTGTGACAAAATATAACCACGTACAAATGCAAAGGCAGAAAGAGAGGATCTATAATACTCACTAACCTTGCAGAGCCACGTAGATCTTTAAATTCAACATTAAGTAAAGGTAGGAAAATAGTTTTACAGAAAGGACAGGTAGTGTTTAAGTTTGAATCATCTGCTGTCCATCCAGCCATAATTTCTTCATCATAAACCAAAGCACCACAAGCTCTACACTGAGAGCAACTTGACATCAATACCTATAACAACAAAGAATTAGTACTATCAGTCTTGTTTCAGGGTTCTTTTTCAATTGGCTTTACAGGCTTAGTATCCACAGGATATCAAAACAGGTATCAAAATGCCAGACGGGAGGCATAAGTTCATCTCTACTTCCTCACCATACTCAGAGTTATCTTGTCCATAATTTTACCCATGAAATACAAATACTACTTTATTTTTGTTAGATATTTTGAGACTTGCAAGAAGCATTACTCTGAAATGCCACTAATTTAGCATTTGCAAATGCTTGCTCCTGTGAAGACATCAGCATATGCAATTTATTTTAAATTGTGTAAGTAAATGTATGTCTAATTCTCCAAAAAAGACAAAACCCTACAAAAAACCTCAAACACAAAAGATAACTTTATAGTGGTGTGGGGTGTTGCCAGGTGCCCACCAAGCCCTTTACTTCATAACTCCCCTCCTCAACTGGACAGGAGGAGAAAAATATGATGAAACACTTATCGGTCAATATAAGGACAGGAAGACCACTCAGCAATTACTGTCAAGAATTACTGGGCAGAACAGACTTGGCTAAGGAAAACTAATTGAATTTATTGCCAATCAAAAGTCAGAGTAGGATAATGAGAAATAAAAATCAAATCTTCAAACACCTTTCCACCATGTCTCCCTTCCTCCTGGGCTAAACTTCACACCCAGCTTCTCCAAATCCTCTCCCAAGTGCCACAGCTGCATGGACAATAGCAGTTGCTGTAAATTCATCACACATCTCTGCTAAAGAGACTCCTCCATCAATGTGGTTCTTGAACATGGTCCTTCCCACAGGAGACAGTTCTTCACAAACTGCTCTAGCCTGGGTCCTGGGTCCCTTCCACTGGTCCTTTCCATGGGCTGCAGTCCTTCTGGAACACACTGCTCCAGCGTAGATCACAAGTCTAACTAGCAAACGTGCTTCAGCCAGGGGTCCTCTTTCCACAAGCCCACAGGTTCAGTTGGGAGACTGCTTCAGTGTGGGCTCCTCTCCATGAGGTTACAGCTTCATATGGAAGCCTGTACCTGCTCCACCACGGGCTCTTCCATGAGCCCTATCAACACGACGAAACCTTGTCCCTCAGTACAACATCTACCTGTCTCTTAAACACCTCCAGGGATGGCGACTCAATCACTTCCCCAGGCAGCCTGTTCCAACACCCGACAATCGTTTCAGTAAAGAAATTTTTCCTACTATCTCTCCTCACACAACTTCAGGCCATGTCCCCTTGTCCGGTCACTCGGCACTAGGGAGAACAGACCAACCCCCTCCCGCTACAACCTCCTTTCAGGTAGTTGTAGAGAGTCTTACCTCAATCTCCTCTCCTCCAGGCTAAATAGCCCCAGATCTCTCAGCCATTCCTCGTATGACACATGCTCCAAATCCTTTACCAGCTTGGTAGCCCACCTCTGCACTCTCTCCAGCACCTCAGTGTCCCTCTTGTAGTGAGGGGCCCAAAACTGGGCACAGTACTCAAGGTGCAGCCTCACCAGTGCCGAGTACAGGGGCATGATCACCTCCCTGCTCCTGCTGAGAACACCATTCCTGATACAGGCCAGGGCGTCGTTGGTCTTCTTGGCCACCTGGGCACACTGCTGACTCATGTTCAGCCGGCTGCCCCCCTCTCGGCTGGGCCCCCCCCCAGCCACTCCTCCCCAAGTCTGTAGTGCTGCTGGGGGTTCTAGTAGCCAAAGTCTAGGATCTGGCATTTGGCCTTATTGACACTCATGTGATTGGCCTTGGCCCAGTGATCCAGCCTACCTAGATCCCTCTGTAGAGTCTCCTGACCCTCAAGCAGATCGACACTTCCATCCAGCTTGGTGTCATCTGCAAACTTACTGAGGGTGCACTCTATCTGCTTGTCCAGATCATTGATGAAGGTTTTAAACAGGACTGGGCCCAGTACTGAGCCCTGGGGAACACGACTCGTGACTGGTTGCCAACTGGATTTAATAACACTGACCACAACTCTTTGGACTTGGCCATCTAACTGGTTTTTTACCCAGCAAAATGTATGACCGTCCAAGCCAAGAGCAGTCATTTTCTCTAGGAGAATGCTGTAGGCAACAGTGTCAAATGCCTTACTAAAGTCCCCTCTCCTAACACCTCTAAGAATAGATAACCTAATCATTTCACGGCCACTGTTCCCTAGATGGCCTCCAACTTCCACAGCCAACACAAGACCTTCTCTGTTCACAAACAGGAGGTCCAGCAGGGCACCTTCCCTGGTTTGTTCACTTACCAGCTGTGTGAGGAAGTTATCCTCCACACATTCCAGGAACCTCCTGGTTTGTTCCCTCTCTGCTGTGCTGTATTTCCAGCAGATGCCTTGGTAAGTTGAAGTCCCCCACAAGAACAACAGCAAGTGACTGCAAGATTTCTCCCAAGTGCTTATAGAATGCTTCATCCACCTCACTGTTCTGGCTGGGAGGTCTATAGCAGACCCCCACAGCAGTATCAGCTTTATTGGCCTTTCCCCTTAGCCTAATCCAGACACCCTCAACCCCGTCATCACTATACTGAAGTTCTGAGCATTCATAAGTGCCTAACATAGAGTGACCCCACTGCCTCTTCTTCCCTGTCTATCCCTCCTGAAGAGCGTGTAGCCATCGATTGTGGCACTCCACTTGTGTCAGGCATCCCACCACACTTCTGTGGTAGCGCCGTGTCACAGTTCTCCTGTTGCTTCATGGCTTCCCTCTGTTTTCTGCTCATACTGTGTGCGTTGGTATAGATGCACTTCAAATAGCTAAACATCCCAACACCTTTTTGTGAGTGTGGGCTCCATTTCTTACCAGACCCTTCTCAGGTGTTTCCATGACTTCTAAACCATCAAAACCAACCCACCCTTGCCTCCTTGTTTCCCATTATACGTCTATCCCTTGTCTCCACTGAGATGGCAGAGTGAGAGTCCTCACTCCACGTCATCCTACAAGCCCTGACACGCTTCCCTAGGGCTTATTCCTAGGAGGCCCAGTTATATCCCCTTCCCCTTCATATCTAGTTTAAAGCTCTATCAATGAGCCCTGCTAACTCCTGCCCCAAGATCCTTTTCCCCCTCTGGGACAGGTGCATCCCATTTGTTGCCAGCAGGCCAGGTGTCTTGTATAGCAGCCCATGATCAAAAAACCCAAAGCCCTGCCAGTAACACCAGTGCCAGAACCATGAATTGATCTAACGGCTCTTTCTGTTCATTCCTTCAGTCATCACGAGGCATAGAGGAGAACACAGCTTGTGCTCCTGATTCCTTAAGCAGCTGCCCCAAGGCCCTAAGATCTCTCTTAATTGATTTTGGGCTTCTTGTAACCACTTCATCACTACCCACGTGAAATACCAACAGGGGGTAATAATCAGAAGAGTTATCTCAGAGGCACTATCACTGTCACTGACAGGCTTAGTCTTGGCCAGTGGTGGGTCTGCCTTGGAGCTGGCTGGAACGGGCCCCGTCAGACATGCAGGAAACTTCTGGTATCTTCTCACAGAAGATACGAGAAGTAGCACCCACACTACCAAAATCTGGCCACACAAATCCAATACAGCAAAGTTTTTGGTAGCAAAGGCGCTGTAATGGTGGCTTCTGTAGGAAGCTGCTAGAAGCCTTCCCTAGGTCTGACAGAGCCAACATCCTCACTCTAAGCACCATTCCACCACTGGCCAAGGCTAAGCCCATCAGCAATGGTGGTAACGTCTCTGCGATAAGACATTTAAGAAGAGAGGGAAAAGGCTACTGGGCAAATGCAGGCAGAAAAAGGAGTGAAAGCATGAGAGAGAAACAACTCTGCAGACACCAAGGTCAGTGAAGAAGGGTGGGGAGGATGTGCTCCAGTGCTGGATTAGAGATTCCCCTGAGTCATGGTGAAGACCATAGTGAGGCAGGCTGTCCCCCTGCAGCCCACAGAGTACCCCATGCTGGAGCCGGTGGATGCACCTGAAGGAGGCTGTGACCCCAAGGGTTCCTAGCAGGACCTGTGGAAAGAGAAGCCCCTTCTAGAGCAGTTTTGCTGTCATGACTTACGACCCTGTGGGTACCCTATGCTGGAGCAGTGTGTTCCAGAAGGACTGCACTCCATGGAAAGGACTAACGATGGAACAGTTTGTGAACTGTCTCCCATGGCAGGGAACTCAAGCTGGAGTAGGGCAAGAGTGAGGAATCCTCTGCCTGAAGGAGGATGGAGCAGCAGTGACATCTAATGACCTGACCACAACTGCCATTCCCCATCCCGCTGTGCTGCTAGGAGGGAGGAAGTAGAAAAACAGGAAATAAATTTAAGCCTGGGTAGAAAGAAGAAGTGGAGGGAAGGTGTTTTTAAAGATTTGTTATTTCTCATTGCCCTTCTCTGACTTGATTGCTAATAAATCAAATCAATCTCCCTGAGTCGAGTCTCTCTTGTGTGTGATGGTAATTGCTGAGTGATCTCCCTGTCCTTATCCTGATCCTTGAGTCTTTTGTTATATTTTCTCTCCCTTGTCCAGCTGAGAAGGGGGAGTGATAGATGGGTTGTGGTGGGCACCTGGCCACCAGCCAGGTTCAAATGCACCATCTTTTTCATTCTGTCTCCAAGCCAGTGAGAAGGCGGGGGGTGGACAAGAGGTTGGGAGGGGACACAGCCAGGACAGCTGGCATCAGCTGACCAAAGAGATACTATACAACATCATAAAACTGGGTGTGGTGGGCTGTTTTTTCCAAGGTAACTGTAGCTCAGGGTATCACGGTACCGACTGATTGACATTGCATCACTTTGTTGCTGTTGTTGTCCCCTTCCTGTTTTGTTTTGGTTTTTTTCCCCCAATTCCCTTATTAAACTGTCTCTGATTTGACCTTCGAGCTTTTTGTTTTGTTTCTGTCCTTCCAAATCTCTCTTCCACCCTGACAAGGGAGAAGCAAGCAAGTGCCTGGGTGAGGGTTTAGCTGCTGGCTGCAGTCAGCCAACTACAGAATTTTCATAAAGGAAAAAAAACAAACAAACAAAAAACTTGAAAGAAAAAAAATCCTGTTTCCTCTCTAATTTCTGTCTCATTTCAAGTTTTGAACCTTCTCTCAGTTGTCTCTTCTCTCTATATAGGAGAGATACACAAAAGCACTTAACACACTTTCATTTTTTAAAGCTACTGTCACAACCTGAGCTAAAACTATCAAGCATGTTTGCAGTAGCAACTTGGGAAAAAATTATTTGGAAAAAATCAACCACAATCCAATTAAACAGGTAAGTAATGCATACAGTGATACTGAATAACCATATCTTTCCTCTACAATTTCATTAATATCTTACCTCCATTGCATAGTTCTGGAAAATGCTGGATAAACTAGTATTATGTGAAGAGCTGTGCTCTGACTTCTCAGAATCTAGAACCTTCATATTTCTTGGCAGTGAAACTTCACCTGTACAGAAAGAGTTGTCTGGGTCTTGTATTCAAGAAAAGAGTAAATTATCCATTCCTGAAGAAAATAATTTCAACCAAGACAGAAGATTGTACCAGGAAATTTCCAAAGATATGTGTAGCTCTGTAATGTCACTGGTTTTAAAATTATAATATAGATAGACAGATATTTTTGTGATTAACATTTTAAAGTTATTTTTGTCTAACAATATATCACAGACTGGTAAAAGAGAAAAAAGCTTCAGTGAATAAAGTCTGAAAACACAAAGAACAAAGAATGGGAAAGAGCACTGGCAAAGATTGCTCAGTACATATATTCAAAAAAGTTATGCAAGATTTCCTGAGTGATACATCCAAATATAAACAACAAACAGAAGAGCAGTACCAGGCAAGACACAATAGCAAACACGCCATTACTGTGCTTAGGTTTTTTAGGTTTTTCTATCAGACTGATAGAGCAGTAAAACGTTGGGGAGTTCTTTGTTAAGGCTGCGTTTTAGTGTTATGACCTTTGCCCAGAAGGCAAAAAGGAGCTGTAATATAAATATATTACATATATCAGCAAAATATGCCTGGAACCATCTTAAGAAATATTACTTCTGACAAGTTCAGTCAAACTTTCCCATTAAAAAAATAACTATTAGAGTCATATAGAAGGCTCCTCTACTTCTTCAGCTAAAATTCATGTTTGTGAAAAAATTTTACATATCCTGTTGATGGCTGCCACTCCTTATACTTAGGTCTTACTTATAAACCTGCCCCTTATAACTGGAACAAGGAGATAGCTCACTAAGCTTCTGCTAGATAGGGCTAGCTTATGTTCAGTTCACAAGATAGTTCTTCCTTTCTTGATGTAGATGGCTTTACCATATTTGCATCATTAAAGTACTGCAATGAGAGATAGACCAAACTCTCAGCTGGTTCAGCAACATATATTTTTCTCAAAATGAGAATCAAATCAAATTGAATCAAATCTGAACTGAAAATTATTAGATTTAATTAATTGAGTTTTAGAACTGGAGGACAGGGAGGATGCTTTCGCAATAGGCATATATTCATCAATTATTTACCTTCATAACTTCAAATCAAGTATGCATCCACAGTAAACCTGACACATTTTTTGTGTGTGCTGCTTCGCTTTTTGTGTTGGCTTCGGGCTCTGGCCTGGGTTTTGTTTCTTTGTTTTCATGAGGTTTTCATCTGTTTTGGTTTCCACACCCCCCTCCCCTTAAAAGACCTGCCTCTGTTAGTTAGGCAACTAAGTGCAGTTCTTGAACACTGCTCTGCTTTTCTGCATTAATATTTCAAGAACTTTCAGGGTATTATGACTTTACATGAATGAGCAGGTATTCCTGGCTATAACTAGTTAGGGATCTTCATATCACATACATCGAGGAAGTATTTTTACAGATAAATCCCTGTATTTTGTATCTACTTTTTATATACTCAACAAAGAGGGAAGCATTAGCTCTTTGCTACTGCAAGAGAAGAGGAAGTACATAATAGTACATTATGTACCATCATATTTTTTCCCGTTTTATTATAATGAAGTTATGAGGAGAAAACAAACAAACAAAAGTAATAATAAATCTCACCCGCACTGTAATGCTGTCTTCCTGCATCTCCACTGCTGCTGCTACTGCCAAGACTAGTAGTGCTTTGTGCTAGCTCATTTGTAATTAGCCCTGGGACTCCAGTTCTCGATGACAGATTCTCTCCTAAAATATTATCTTCAAAACCAGCAGGGAAGTTAAAGTCTGGTCGATTGTTTTCTTCCTTTAATACAAAATGAAGAAAATCAGCATTTTTGAGTACCTCCAGATCCATCATTTTATTTTCATCTTTATCCTAATAAATAAATAAATAAATAAAGTAGCAGATTAAGACAAAATCCTGATGTAAAGAAATCAATAGATGTAAGATAAACCTAGGTACCCCCCTCCCCCC